ATGAACACATTTGTTCTGTTCTGGGAATCGTTCCCATAACCAGAATACTTTTGTTCTGTTTTGAGGCCGAACTTATACCAGTTCACAGCTCAATGAACTGGTCGACCAGCTCAATTCATTTGAACTGAAATGACCTGTCACTCAGGAGTCAACTCCTTGGACTTCTGTGGATTCCTTGGACTCCAGGAATCCGCTATTTTCCTCCTGGATGAATATCATTGTTGTTATCATTGCTTAATTTAATTGCAGTAACGGGAATCCGCTGAAATATAATATCTGCTGGTTCAAAATCTTTCTCGGCACATAATACAAATAACGTTCATCTTCGGGAAACGTCAATTACTGTTTTTTTTTTCTTTGTGTATATGTAAGTTAAGATTAGATTAGATCGAATAATATATATGACGCATTGAAGGACATTTACAAGGATAAAGGTGATTCTACTAATATTTATTAGTGGAAGCGTTCTAGTAGCAGTATGTTTTCACATTAATTGCAGGATGAACATGTTGATTAAACTAATCAATCTGAAAAAGTACTGATTCCAGTAACTAATCTCGAAGCACATTGATGCCGACAAATTGATTGCAGTAATTAATATCGAAATATATTGATTCATAATAGTATATATGAGCTCAGATTAATTACTAAAATCAACCTGTTGCCACACTGATTACTTCAATGATATTGACATTTTGTTGATGTAGTTTGATTGTTTTTATTTGTGTTTATTTATTGATGGGGTAATTCAATGTATCGATTAAAGTAATTAATGCGAGTGCATATTGATTGCAGTAATTCATTATATTGCGGGAAGCTGACTCCAGTAATTAATGTGGCATTTGCCTTTTATATCAGTGCTTCTTTTCTATATATATTTTTTTTATCAGAACTTCTGCTGATCATCTCCTTTTCTCACATCATTCTCTATATACGTTTTCGTTCTTCTCTCATACTCGCATCTACCAACTGTGATATTTTGTGGTATTAATCCATCACTTACCTAGTGGTGGAGTCAGCATTGGGCGAGAGGGGGCTGAGCCCCCTCTAAAAAATTTATAGATTTCGAACATTAAATTTAAATGAGTTTACCTCTGACGGAGTTTAGAAAATTTCTGGGCTGAGTCCCCTCTAGATCAAACTCCTGGCTCTGCCACTACACTTATCTATGACTCAATGCCTCCAAAATTTCTCATATTTGTTAGAATATTTCGCTGTACTTGCAAATGCTTAAGAGCAATTCCCTTTCTACTAAATGTATGCGACGATATTCTCTAATCTAAAACTATTTTACCACTAAGGGCTTTTCCGTAGAGCATCGTTTCACTTAATATCCGAAATTAAAAACTTCCGTAAAACATTTTTCCATTTTCTTTGACATGTGTCTACAGAGTTCAACAAGTGCCAAAAAAACTCAATTCTACACTTCAAGCATCTTAAAAAATTAAGGTTTTAATAATCGACTAAAACGAGAAAAACTATCGCAAAGTCCTACACAACTGGTGTCGCAACTCGGCAGAATTCTGTCCCTCTGATTCAGAGAAAATGAATGTTCTCAGCAACAGAGAGAAATTTCAAAAAAAGATCCCCGTGTTATTTTTATCCATGCAAAGACGAATCGAATGGAGCGTAAATCAAGCTCCGTCCCTTAACAGAAAAAACTAGATAGATTGGCAAAATTTGTTGGGGCGCTTTATGATGTCCTTAATTATGAATTCTTTTTTGGCCGTATGATATTGGATCAAGCTCTTTAAGACATAATAAGTTAAAAATGCGTATTAAAGCTAATGTACCGACCAGTATTCAATGGGATTTGCAGTACAACTAAAGGTGAAAGATAGAAGTATCTAGAAGGAGAGCTTATTAATATAAGCAGCTGCCGTAATATCGGCGGGGTTTACTCCCACCAAGGCCACTATAACGACGCTCTTGACTATTACAAAACGGCGCTTGATATTCAGAAACAAACTGTTCCAGAAAATCATCAGGACATTGCAATAAGTTATGCAATATAGGCTGAGTTTATTCCCACAAGGGTAATTATAATGGTGCCCTTGAGTATTACAGAACGACACTTGATATGAAGAAATAAACTCTTCCACAAGATCATCCGCATATTGCAACTAGGACTGTAGCCGTTCACGTTGGTTTGGCAAAATTTTAAATGTAAACGATTTTGCCGTTGGCGTTCTGAACTGTCAACTGCATGTCGTCAGGTGACGTTGTGAACTTCAACGGTATCTCGTCAGTTGACGCTCTCAACTGTCAACGTGAAAAACTATGTCCCTAGATGTCGTTATAGTGTAGTTCAGTATCAATATGATGACTTGTAGACCGAAAAGTATTGAGAAAAATCGTGCAAAAGAAAACTGAAAAAAAGAGGCACAAAACGAGCAGAATAATGTAGAAAACGGGAAAATTTCTCAAAACATTTTGATTCACAAGAGATCTTCATTCATGTCAAAGCTTTACGTGAAAAGTATGAAGGTTTCACTCATTTAAGAACCTTAGACTAGTGGGTTTCAAAGTTGACAGTTCACAACGTCAACTAATGCGACAACTTGACAGTTCAGAACTAGGCATGCAACAATCCCAAACTAGGAATCGGCACCGAATGGTTTGTTACTGAACATGTTCGGTCACCAAACGGTTCGCTACTGGACATGTTCGCTGCCGATCAGCGAGCCATAGCTTGAGATGGTTGCATGCCTGATCTGGACTAAAGGCAAATTGAATGAAATTGAGGCTTTTGAAGGAACTAACCAGTGAGAAAATAGATTAAAGTACAATGTGAGCGAATGTGTCTTCTACTGAATCGCTACCAAAGGTTTAAAAAAAATAGTTTGCCAAAGCTAAGAACATGAGAACGAAGAAACACATGAAAGAAATCTTTGTAAAACAGAAAAAATGGTGAAGATTACACCAAACGGAGGAGCAGCCTTAATTACGCCGTAGCCGTAAGTGGTCATGTAAAGAAAAGTTTGAATCAGAGCAGCAAATTTATGTTTACTTTATTCCACGAAGTTGAAAGTACCTTTAGTTTCATTATATCTGATTTACTCTCTAATTACTTACTAACGGGACCTCTGTATAGCAGATTGATTTACTTTGTTTCCATGCAAAAATGGTTTTTCTCACTGTGCAGAAGAAAGTAGACAGACAGTTGCAGCTCTAATTTGAATGTATCTTTATAAGGTTTATGGTACTTTGTCCTAATAGTTTGTCAGCAGAGCGTTCGTCGATGTCTCTGATGAGAAAATATAAACTATCTTATTTACAATCTTCGTCCGAACACGTTCGATAGCGATCGAAGACACATACATTCACATTGTGCTTTAGTTAATCTATTTTCTCACTGGTTAGTTTCTTCAAAAGCTTCAATTTCATTCAATTTGCCTTTAGCCCAGATCAGGCATGCAATCATCCCAAGCTAGGGCTCGCTGATCGGCAGCGAACATGTTCGGTAACAAACCGTTTGGTGACCGAACATGTTCGGTTGCGAATGATTTGATGCATGCCTATTCAGAACGTCAACTGATAAATTGCCGTTGACAGTTGAGAAGGAAAACCGCTACGGCTACACTCCTAATTGCAACCAGCTACAGTAATATAGGCCGAGTTTATTCTCACAAAGGCAGCTATGATGGAGCCCTTGACTACTAGAAGAAGGCACTCCATATGGAGAAACAAACTCTTCCAGGAAATCATCCGAACATTGCAATCAGCTATAATAATATAGGTGAAGTCTACTACAATAAAGGTGAAGTATGATGGCACACTGGACCCTCCAAGGCGCTCGGCATTCTGAAGCAAACAGTTCCGGCGGAAAATGAGCCCGATGAATTATTGTATTTCGTTAATCATGTAAACCCCGATCCAAAATAGAAGACCATGACCTTCTATTACGCTTTCGCACATCGCACAGAAAATGATACTGAAAATGGTACTAAATATAAACTGAAAATAAAAATTGAATGAAAGATCCCAAAGTTCGTACAGTAGAATTCGGTTTAGGCGGTGCCGATTGTCTTTTATATACAAGGCGTACTAATCAATGGAAAGATATAGAAAATAAAACAATTTAATTATTTTACAATCAATCGTACAGGTGAAAAACGCTTGATTTGTACAGCCGAATGGTTGAAGCCGATGGCGGAATTACTAAGAAAAGAAATAACTATGTAGCACGAAAAGGACTGACGAGTAAGCCATAGTCTACCAGTGATCTTCACTATATCACTATAACACATCAATATATTAATAGCACACAATACATTTTAAAACTTATTTACCATGTACGAGCAAATCATGTTCAATGATTTACAATTGCGAAACGACGCTGGCATGGATGAAAGTTTCTCTTCTACGAATTAAGAAAGTCGAGCATTAACTTAGTGTCTAGTGCACATCACAATAATTTAAAGAAATTCTGACAGATTTATTCAGTTATACTTCAAGTGGTATCGTCGAATCAGCGAATTAATATAAAACACTTTAGACAATAACATGAGACTTTGCTTTATTAATAGCAACATACAGACAAGGTTTTTTCAAAATTTAGACCTAAAATTCCATCAGAAGGATAAAACTTAAATTTCTCCGTTGAACTTCATTCTGGAACGCTGAACACTGTTTTCTATATGCAATTTGATGCCCTCTATTCCATGGCGCAAGAAATAGGTCTTCATTTTAAATTTAAAGATTTTATTTAAATTTCAAAACTTGAGTAAGAAACCTGAAAAACACTTCACAACTTTTTTTTCAAAAACTACAAGTCCGGGAATCGAAAAAAATTCAGAATATATACTTGGGACTATGCTCCACAAACTAGCTGAAAAAAGCAGAATGGGGGAGGTCCCTTCGTAGATTCCATATTTTTACAGATATGTGTCCTAAGATTCATCATTCGCAAAATTTTCATTTTTATAATAAAAAAGTGAAATAATGCTGAAAAAGGTTAAGAAAGATATATGAAGTTCTAGATGTCCTTTTTTTTAAGGTTAACCGGAATTTTGACTCCACCATGTCTGCGGATTCACAGGTTTGTTGTTTTCTTTAATTTGATAGTGTACATGTTGAGGATATTGATTGCGGCCCCTAGGGCCGACCCCGCCCATAGTACCAATTGGTTCACCGGCTCTGACTGAACTTCCTACTCGTACATTTTGACTATTGGTATGTAATATCTCGTGACTGACACGATGGGCATCTTGAATTTTGATAGTCCCATACTGGCCTCCGACGAAGGTCACTTTGCCATTGACAGGAGAGTGAACAGTAGGGTGTTTTAGATTGATACCGCTTTGTCCAACGTTATAGTTAAGATCAACGCCTCCATGGTTGCGTCTTGTAGCCGTTGAGCCATATGGACTTGTTATGTGTGCCTGAGTTTGCCCTGTACTGGGTAATATACGACTCATGGCACTGTTTAAACCATTGGAACCTTCAAGAATATCGAAAAAGAGTGTGTTGAACAATCAACTTTTTCAGGAAGCAGGTCATGATCTAAACAAACGTGGTGTATTCACAAGAAATGGCAATGTTTTTTACGTTGATCAGTATAGCATAAAACACTATTAGATCTCATTCTGATGCGAACAGATTGGCTCGCATTTGATACGCAAGTTAGTAAGTCCTATCGCTTTCAAGATTCGTGATAATCTAAACATTAGAGTATATTCAGCACAAACTGTTAAACAGAGAGTAATTCATCAACAACATTATTCTTTTGACTAATCTATTTGTACAGAGAAAACACAATAAGAACACATGAATTGTGAAAATACTGCTGTCACCTTTTCTATATTTCTTCTTTGTTCTTGCAAGCATATAATTTCTATAAGGAGTTAGGCGGATTCATAGAGTATGCCAGTCAGTTCAGTTCAGAAGATCATGGCTCGAATTAATAATTCAGCTAGCGTGTATGGCCGATGGAAATACTTGTATTGAATATGCGAAGTATAACAGTTAAGGCAAACAAAGATTCGACTAGTATCGTCACAAAATTTGACTTTTTAACGCCAGTCTCTAACCAGTCAAACCATCTGTTATAGCTATCACAGAAACATGGCTTGATTTTACAATTCCAGATAATGACATTTCTCTAAATGGGTATAGTATCGAACGTTTAGATACAGATAGAGTAGGAGGAGGTTGTATGCTTATTACCAAAATTATTTAACAGTAAAACGGTTAACGAATTTAGAAAGTAAGAATTTTGAAATAATGTTTTTTGAGATGTGAATCCCAAAAATTGGTCAAGTATTCTTCTCATTGAATTATCGCATGCCAAGTATGGATAATGATGAGATAGATCTCTGTATATAATTCTTAACAGACACAATATATGACATATTTCAAAACCAAAATTTCGATGCTTTTCTGTTAACTGGTGACTTTCATGCTCATTGTGAGGACTGGTGTGATACACATTCGTCCACAGTTGCAGGAAAAAAGATTTTTAATTTTCTTGAAACAGTAAATTTTAAGCAATTAGTACACGAGCCGACAAGAATTAGTACTGACGGTCAAACGAAAACAGCGCCTGACCTAGTATTCACTAGTTCTAACACCATAGTTCGTAAAATACAAATAGGAGATCCCTTATGTGTTACCTATGACTATAACCTTTTTATGTTAAAATTTTAATTAAGTCAGATACTGAGCGCTCTGCACCGCTAACGCGAAAAATCTATAACGGTAAAGCCACAGATTAGAATTTCTACCGTTATACTTTAATTCAAGTTCTTAGAACAGCAGCTATTCTCTTTAATAAACTCTACATGTATAAACCAAAAAGTAAAAATTTTGGAATCGAGTATTTTGCAGACACCCGATAACTGTATACCAGCAAAAATTGTTCGAATATTTTCAAATGATCAGCCGTGGTTTACACAACGTCTACGCCTCTTGTGCAGAAAAAAACCGTCTCTACAGAGAATATAAAGACAATTCTTTTCTCTCCTCTATTGATAAATGTAAGAAAGCAATTAGAAGAAATTAGGAGGCATTCACCCTTTATTTAAGGGAACAGCAGTTACACAATTTCAGTCTTTACAACAGCAAAAAAGAAAAATTTGAAAAGTGGCCAGCTTTATACACGCGGGTGTATTCTCAGTAGAGACGCTGCCCTCTTGTAAAACTATTTTGTTGTTGTAGGATGAATATGCTCTTTTCTCTAAAAACCATATGCTATGCAGAAAGATAGGAATTTATGTCAGAATTTCATGCAGTTTGAAACTACTAGTTTCAACTGTGAAATTAGTGGGCTTCGAGAACAAAGATTTTTACGTTCTACCTCAGCTGAGTATTTTTCATAATCCGCGTCGACTACAATCATAATAAACCCACAGAATATTTCATTTAAATTTTATATAAAGTTGCCGACGAATAGGAAACAATCTTTTTACGAAAAATAGGCGAGCCATTTTAGCATTTTCTTTTTATACAAAATTTAGGAAGTTTTCAAAAATACTTCTCTTGCTTTACGAGAGAACTGCAACTTTTCTTGATATTTTGTAGTCAGGTCAGTTCTGATTTTGAAGATCACACTGAGTTATGATCAGAACATTTACTCAAAACTTGAAAGTGCACTGTTTTCGAATTTAAATTCTCATAATTCTGCCGATGGATCTGCAAATCTTTTGTGCACACGGACATTTTGTCTGTGTGAAATCTTCGTAAACCGGTTAGCTACTTTTCTGCTTTATTTAGAAGGTTTGTTTTCTATCTAATTTGTTCAAGAACATTACTCCTAAGGCCCTTTATAATGCAAAGAAATAGAGCGGCAAAAAATTTCACACAAACAAAATGACCGTGTGCACAAAAGATTTGCAGATCTATCGGCAGAATTATGAGTGAGAACTATTTTGGAGATACGAGTCCGCTTTTAAAACTCACATTTCCGTTGTTTTTACTGTTCGACATTCTGCATATCAAGTTTTCGCCGTTCTTATACATTCTGCGTTTTCACTTTCGATGTTTTGAGTTTTCGACCAAAGGCATACATAGCTTCATTTTAGATAAAAGAAAATTTCGTCTATTATTCTTTGATTTTTGCAAAGTAGCGCAAAGTAGCGCAAAGTAGCGCTGCAGCTAGTTGGGCAGCGGGTATTAAATATATACAAAACTGTTTGACTAGCTGTAACACCCAATAAATCTCTAGCTGCAGGTAGTTGTACACTGTTTTATAGTGGTAATATTTCTTACCCGCTGCAGATAGTATTGAAGCGGGTTAGCGGGTTTGTCCCGTTGCAGCTAGCTGCACCCGCTAAATTTTACTCCTTTAGCTGGCTGCAGTTAATGGAGAAGCGGGTGCTTCTTCAGCAAGTGCAATTAGCTTATTTCTTATGAAATTTCATGCTTGGGTAATCACTCACAGTTCAAAACTCTGACTTCTTGTTTCGCAGTATTTTCTATCAGTTGTGATCACTAAGTACTTTTAAAAGTCAAATGGCGAAAAAATAAAACGTAATAAAACTAACCTCTAACAGTGGGAGCAGTAGCACCATTTATTGAATGTTCTTTAAATAAATTAAAAAAAATAAACTTTTATAATTTGAAAAGGAAGTTTTTTACTAATTATAGTCGCAAAGATATACCTTCAATTAAATGATAAATTAATAGAAGAAAAACCAGTAATCTATACGAAAATTGTTGTGTCATTCTTTTCCAGTCTGAAACAAACTACAGTTGCTCACTAAATAATAATAATAATATACAAATTCAAATTCTGTATTCTAAATATCACTTTTGATGATGTATATAGAAAGAAAGAACTACACACATGAAGAAGTATATTCTGTTTTATTTTGG